TGATTTTGAACTCAAACAAGTTTCATCTTTTCTGTTCAAACATTTCCCAGTTCAGGGATCTGGCATGTATTCTGTCTGAGTTCCTCATAGGATCTAGCACAATTAAATAAGATTAATCGTTCTCTTCATTGAGCTAATGAATTAATCGGAAGATAGCTTAGGTATATATCTCCTTATGAATTCTTTGTTTTGTGTTTTTAATGATGTAGGTATGACTACTCTGGCTATGGACAGTCATCTGGCAAGGTAATTGGCAATAGAATTTTCCTGGAATACTTAAGGTAGTCTCTGCATTAAGTGCTCAAGTGCATGAATTGAATTTGATCTCCAAATGCTTTATGCAGCCAAGTGAGCAGAACACTTACGCAGATATTGAAGCTGCATACAAGTGTCTCGAAGAGAGTTATGGCGCAAAGCAGGAAGATATAATCCTTTATGGACAATCTGTTGGAAGTGGTCCTACCGCGGACCTTGCTGCTCGTTTGCCTCGACTTAGAGCAGTTATTTTGCATAGTCCAATCCTGTCAGGCCTAAGGGTCATGTATCCTGTCAAACGCACATATTGGTTTGACATCTATAAGGTAAAATAGCTGCAATTGATCTAGTCAACTCTTTCATATTATAGCTGTAAGATTCACCTTCCTGTGCCTGGTAAATTATTTTGTGTTTGTTATTTGTTATAAAATAGTACGCATTAAAAATCCGTCGCTGAACTTGAATTACTTTTTGCGCTGTGCAGAACATTGACAAGATCCCATTGGTTAAATGTCCTGTCCTGATCATTCATGTAAGTATAAACTTCGTCATGTACTCACCAGTTTTCTATAGTTAATTGTGTGGCCTCCTGTGGTAGCAATAAATGAGCTTCTTGAATTAATTAACTAGCAAAATATTGATAGATAATGCAAAACATGCATGGTGAGCCTCTGTGTGATGGGACATTATGTTAGTTTACTAGGAAGAAACTGAGCCTGAAGGACCGTGTTTAACACATTCAAGACGGAAACAAGAGGTTTTAACAGGAAATAATAAATGGACAGTCAGGCCAGTACATTACTGGAGTTACATGAAATGGTTTTGAACTTTTTATACTTCAACCCCGCCAAACCACTCCACTGGGATGGGAAAAAAGATACTAGTTAACAGGCCACATTTCTTATGAAGTGAAAAATGTTTATAGTTGAGCAGTTCAATCGATTAATTAACTAGGTATCAGTCCCCAACTATTTGGGATTAGCTGTATGAATCCTCTATATCCATTCTACTCTATATAAGCTTTATATCATCGGATTTGCCTACTCCCATTTATTTATTTTTCCCTTCTTTGCATGTGTGTTGCTCAATTGCTTTATTTGTATGGTCATCTAAAGTTATTAACTTCTGCAGTCTTTACATGAGTCTCTTCATGTTGTGCAGGGCACTTCTGATGAAGTTGTTGACTGCTCCCATGGGAAACAGCTATGGGAGCTATGCCAGGAAAAATATGAACCATTATGGCTCAAAGGGGGAACACATTGCGACTTAGAACTATACCCCGAATACATTAGACATCTGAAGAAGTTTGTATCTACAGTTGAAAAACCACCTTCTCAGAGAAATTTATCAAGAAAAAGTGTTGACAGGCCTGAACAATCACGGAAGAGTACAGACTGTTATGAAGGTCCAAGAAAAAGCACTGATCGGAGAGAGAAACCAAGAAAAAGCACTGATAAGCCGGAAAAGTTGAAAAACTATGAGTACAAGTATGCCAATGATGATAAGCTTTCGAAGTTAAGGATGTCTTTTGACCAAGTAGAGAGGTCTAGGAGGAGCGTGGAATTCTTTGAGAAGCCTCGAAGAAGCATCGACCAACAAATGGAAAAAGCACGAAAAAGTGTGGACTGGCTAGATAGAATAAGAGCTGGTTGATATATTGTAAATTTCATGGTCAAGTCAATTGTGGGGGAGTATAATAGTGCAACAACTTAACAATTAATTTATGGTTATCGAGTGTGATTTAGTTAATGTTCAACGGAGCATATCTGTTTTTTTTTTCTTTGTGCTTCTTCTTTCTGTTATGAAAAGAACAAATGAGAAATATAGTTTGGCATCTCATTACAGTTTTGAGTTTGATCAAGCCGCATTGCGGAATTTATTAGCAGTATATCTTCATGTTTAGGGGTTTTAAAGTTTTTGTCCCTAAATAGTAGTAGTAACAAGAAATTCTCAATTGTAGGCCTTTGCTTAATATTGTGGTTTTAACTTGCAACTAGCTAGTTGGGTAACTTGTGGAACTAATTACTTTGTGTTGATGGAAGGACATTTACTCAAAGGGAAAACATAATTGTCCTCTTTTCCCGTGTAGAAGTTGGGGGTAAAGTGATTTCTTCTCATCTGTTTAAGTTTTGGTAGGACGAGTTACCCAGTATTTGTGTTATTGGAAAGAATCTGGTACCTTGATGAAGTAGTCGAGAGAAATTGGGAGTGAAAGGTGTGTGTGATTTGGAGAGGAGGGTATTGCAGCCTTGCAGACACCATGCATTCCTTTACTGTCTTTTGGAATATTGCACTACTGATAACTGCAGAAATAAGTACTACACTTTGCACATGAATGTCTCAAATGATATGTTAACCTTTTGGAAGTACATCAAACATGTGAAACTGCCCAGAATTTCTACGGTACGTCTTTCGCTAGAAAAGGAGCAAGAACATCCATAATCATTGGATAAAGATGAATCTCTGTACCTTCTATCCTTTTGTACTAGCAGCTCTTCCTCAGTAAGTGTATGTTAAGAGTAGTATAAATGAAGAAAACATTCACCAAACAGTTGAGTGTTTAAAACTTCATTTGCTTGTCTCATCTTATAAAGGTGGTTCATCTCAAGGTAATTTTCTTTTCACTTCAATATGATACAAGACATATTGCTGTCGTCATAGCTAATACGAGAAGTAAATGAATATATTAAGCTTGTTTGGTTCTCGTAATCTTCTTTCGAGTATTTCCATTTGATTATCTGATGAAACATGATTATGCTTCTACATGGTCTAATTCGTCATATAGTTTGTTCATTTCTTTTATGCTTTCATAAGATGATATAGCTGTATTCTGTACAATTTAGGAAGCACTCAATGGCGTCTAAGGAGTTATTCCCGTATTTGCCACCACCTCCCAAAGAAATTCCCTCAGGTGTGGTTCCTATGAAAGCTGAACCAGGGAAAGGTTGCGGATCAGTTAGTGAGAGATTGATGCCAAACTTTAACCAGATGAACAGACCTCGTCCGGGGGTCAAGGGAAAGAAGATACATCTGCTGACAAATTATTTTAGAGTATGCTTTCAAGGTGGCATAAGCCAACTTTATTCATACAATGTAAGTTCATTTTTTCTTGATTTGATTACTACGTGGAAGTTAAATTCACGGAGCTAAATATGACTCTTTTAACTCGTGAAAGGTTAACGTCCTATATGAAAATGGGGACCCTGTAACTGGAAGCAACTTAATTAGAAAAGTGATTCATAAACTCTGGGAGATATACAGCTCCGAGTTAGGAGAGCAAGCATTTGCTTCTGATGGGCAACAGAGCTTGTTCACAACTAGTCTTTTACCACAGAAGAAGCTAGATTTCACAGTTGTACTTGATGCTGCAACATCAAAAAGGTATATGAAGTCTTTAAGCATTTCATTCGATCATAGAACGGGTAATATTTCATCTAGCATCATTTCTTTCTCTTTTTGCTTTTTGGGATGATTGGCTTCAACGTTAGGTGCAAGACGGAAGGCAACCTTAGTGGCGATGGAGACTTAAGTGAGGGTGATCAAAAGAGGCAGAAGATCATATCCCGATTCAAAACTTTCAGAGTACAGATAAACTTTGTTTCCATCATCCCCTTTAAGACAATGCCTGATGGAAAGCATGGAGTAAAATCAGGAAATAATGAAGTTCTGATAGCATTAGACACCATTTTGCAACACTCTAATGCAAAAAGGTGCATACTGATCCATCAAAACCTATTTCTAGCCATCAAAACACTCTTGACTTTCTTTCCCTCTTTTGGTCCTCGACAGGAACTGCCTTCTGCTCCGCCAATCGTACTTCCCCAACGAGATGAAGAACTTCATGGACTTGACTGGTGGTATCCTTGGATGCCGAGGTTTTCATTCGAGTTTCCAATCTGTTCAAGGTGGATTATATTTCAACCTTGGTAAGTTAATGCAATTCCCTTTGGGTCCTTGTATTTCTTTCGAAACATTTGGAACAGTTTTAGTGATGCTTTCTACCTAACTTGGACAGATACATCTACTACAACACTTATACAGCCAGGTCCACTAGTTAACTTTTTAATGGCCAACCAAAATGTGGAAACTCCCTTCAAAATCGACTGGACTAAGGTCGCCTCAGCTTTAAACACTCTCTTGGATTTGCTGTAACTTTGTGTAATTTTCTAGTTTCTACCTGCTGCAGGCAAAAATCTTGAAAAATCTCAGAATTAAGCTATTACACTCCAATAGAGAACACAAAATCACTGGACTTAGCAACAGGACATGTAAAGAGGAGAAGTAAGCTCTCAGCTTCTAAATTGTTAGATTTATTTGTTATAGTCTTTAATATCCTATTATTTGTTTCTCTTACCATTATGCTGTTTATTGAACAGGTTTCTTCTGCAGCTGAGGGGATCCAATAATCAAAATGACAATGTCCAGACTGTTGAGATAACTGTTTATGAATATTTTGTTAGGAAACGTGGAATAGAACTCGGTTATTCATCAAACTTGCCATGCATCAATGTGGGGAGCCAGCGCAAAGCCCAGTTCATTCCTGTTGAGGTGTGGTAGCTTTTATTTGCTTCTGTTTTTCTTGTTATCCCAGATTTTGAAAGACTTGTTCTTGGAAAAATCATGTAATTTCTTGAATATTTCATTAGCTCTGTTCATTGGTTCCCTTACAACGATTCAAAAAGGAATTATCCTTGCATCAAAGATCCTTATTAGTGAACAAGTCGAGCCAAAAGCCGATAGAACTCATGAAGCATCTAAATGAGGTAGCTTCACATACTTTTTTTGACTGACCATATTTTCAGAATTTAGTTACACAATGCTGAAACATTTTTCTTGTCTTGATAGGAGCTTAAAGCCAACGACTATAACACAGACCCCATGCTGCGCGCTTGTGAAATCTCAATTAATAAATCTTATACTGAAGTAGAGGGAAGAGTTATATCTCCTCCACAGGTAGTATATAGTGTGACATCTAACCTCCTTTTTCAAAGTTGTTACTATTATATTTATAATGACATCAGATAGTTCATAATGGCCTCACTTTTTAGTTGAGAGTGGGAAACAAGGAAAATCTTGCTTCAAAATTTTCGCGCTGGAGCTTTAACGGCAAGGTGATGCACCGCATTTTATCTAATATTTTCATGTTCTGATTGAGGAGGACATCATTAACCTCTCCTGCAGAAGTTTGCAGATCCAAAAAGCATTGAATTTTGGGCTGTGGTGAACTTCTCTTCTGGTCATGACATACGTGCTTTCTGCATTGAAATGGCGAAATTGGGTGCAATGAGGGGAATGGTGATATGACTGACTTCTTACAGATATTTGACACACATGCAAACCTTTATAGTTATTCACTGAATAGCGTATATATTCGTCTTTGTTGCAGCACATTCATCCACCATCATTTGTTTTCGAAGAGAATGCTAAGCATAAAAAGAAACCGGGATCTGTTCGAGTGGACAAGATGTTTGAACAAATAATTCCAAAATTTCGCAAGGATCCTCCTCGATTCCTTCTTTGCTTTCTTCCTGCAAAGTTTTCTAATTTATATGGTTGTAGAAATATATCCAGTCAGATATACTGTTTTCACTTTCTTGGTATTTGTATGACTCAAATATGGTTTTGACTGTCTTAGGTCCATGGAAGAAAAAGTGTCTTATGACCTTCGGAATTCGTAACCAGTGCATTGCAAAGAACAAAGTTGATGAAACTTATCTTGCTAATGTTATGTTAAAAATTAATGCAAAAGTATGGGACACTAATCACTTCTTTACATATATGTTGATCACTTGTAAAAATTCTAAAAAGTTTGGTTGTCCTGCAGCTTGGTGGTCTGAATTCTATGTTATCAGCTGAAGTTTCACAGACTATCCCCTTAGTTTCTAAAGTTCCCACAATGATCTTAGCAATGGGCGTTACACATGCCCCTTCTTCACGGTCAGATTTACCCTCCGTTGCTGCAGTAAGTCCTATTATTGTAATAGTCTGGTTTGGCAAGGCTATTTTGCACAGTCAAGTTTGATAGTAATCTCTATATTTTGTGCATTAGGTGGTCGGTTCTAGACAGTGGCCAATGATTTCTTACTATAGAGCTTCTACCTGTATCCAACCACCAAAGACCGAAACTATACATTCTCTCTTTAGACCAGTTTCAGATAGGGAGGACTCAGGCATGATCAGGTAGGGATTCTTCCCTGCACCTTAAAAAATCCTTCATTTTTTGTTTGGTTTGCTTGGACTAATAAGCATAAAGGATGAAGAAGTTGGGATTCATATCAGAAGTTTGATTTAGGTCGTATAACGCTTCTTAGGCTACATATTTTTGTTTGTGCTAGGGAGCTCCTAATGGATTTTCATGCAAGTTCGGGGAAGAGGAAGCCTGAACAGATTATTATATTCAGGTGCAAAATCTTCTAATATCATTGTTTGTTTATTGTCGTGATATTACTTCTTGTTTACATAGATATAGTCCTCGAAATCCTTGAGGAAACCTCGGGGAAGCTAATTAGATTTGGCTCATAACATACCTGAATCTCAAAGACTTGTAAAAGGTTTTGCTAATGTAAAGTTTTTCAGACAAGGTTTAAGTGAATCTCAATTCAAGCATGTTATTAGCGAAATGGAGGAAATTATTAAGGTTTGTTCTGTAAACTCATTTGATCAAGGCGTATATAGATTCTGCCTTGTTTCTTGAGGTTCTTAATCCGCTTTATGGACCATTATAGGCCTGTAAATTCCTGGATGAGATTTGGTCTCCAAAGTTCACTCTTATTGTTGCACAAAGAAGACATCACACAAAGTTGTTCCAAGCTAATTCCAGTGACAATATTCCTCCTGGTGAGCTTTCAACTGCCTACAACTATACTAGTACTAGTAAAACCACCAGCACAGCATCAAATAAATACATTTTACAACTCTACTTTTCTAATGACAGGCACAGTTGTTGATACTAAAATTTGCCATCCGCTGTATAATAACAACTTCTACATATGTGCACATGCGGCAAGAGTTGTAAGTATTTCACTAAAAAAAAACAGTTTTTGGATGAAAAACATGAAGCAACACTTTGTCGTATGCATAGTCCTATCAGGCATTTTTTTGCTTTAGCTTCGTCCTTTATTCACTATATAATGTAGAAAACATAATGCAGGGGACTAGCAGGCCAATTCACTACTTTGTTTTGTTGGATGAAATCGGCTTCTCATCTGATAGTGTGCAGGAACTAGTCCATTGTTTATGTTACGTGTAAGTTCCCCGTGGTTATGCTTGGATTTTACTCAGTTCTTTGAACTTCTCTGATCGTTTCAAATTTGGAAAACATTTTAGGTCTCAGAGATGCACCAGTGCTATATATGAAGGTAAGAACTATAGTCAGTTGCCAGAGTAAAACAGTTTGCTGCTTCTCTTGCATTTCTTTTTCCCAACTTTGATTCTGAATGACTAAGATGTTTTGCAGTGGCTCCGATTCGTTATGCTCGTTTGGTTTCAGCTCAGATGTTAGAAATTATGAAGACTGAGGGGCCTGAACTGCCAATGTTGCACAAAAATGTGCGCGATACAATGTTTTTCTGCTGAAATTCTGTACCATCATCTGCTAAAAAGTGCAGTTTTCTTTGTGTTCAAAATGTACTGTTAACAATTAGGCAAGTCTAAAAGGCATTGGTTACATACAAGATTTTCAGATTTTGTGAACAAATTAAACCTCAGGATGCTACATCAGTATACAAGGAGGATCACTATCTATTTACTGCAAGTCTTCTTTGAAGAAAACCTTATGTTTTTATATTCTTAAATTTCGTGGTCAGTTAAATTCAGACACATAAATAAGAAAAAAAGAAAACTAACTATGATTAATTGATGCAAATATATGTGAATAACATATATAATGTAATCATTGATTTGACGTGGAGATCAAGTATAAATAATTTACCTTATGTCCAAGACTCTTCAACGTGGTTGAATATAAATTATCATGTTGAATATGAATCGTCAGAGATCTTTTTTATGATAAGATAGTAGCGCCAAAAACTCAAATTATTAGTAGAATAATTATCCTAAAAATAATATATTAACTAGTTTCGGGGAACGTGCGTTGCACGTTTGCCCCTTATTATTATTATTATTATTATTATTTTATTTATTTATTTAAAAAGTGAGTTATAAGATAGAAAATGTTGAAATTAACAATATTAATTTATCATTTAGATTTTGTTCATTAAGAAAAATCATAAATAAGAATGGTGTATTTTTCATCTATATGTGAAACTAATTAAGATAATATAATCTCTAATGGAATGAATGTGTCAATGAATTTCTAATTGAAAAATAATAATAAATGCATATAATGAAATAAACAAGGCACAAAACAAATTTATCATAAATATAAATCGCAATTACATATTCTGCATACTATAACAAAAAAAGACCCTAAAATTTGTATAAAACAAATGACTATATTTTTCTGTAAAGCACCTAAACATCAAAGTTGAACGATAATACAGTAAGATTGCCTTGAGAGTGCAATGACTTGTGATAAGACCACCGGTTTACATATGAGTATATTTTATTGTATTTACAAAATATAGCACTATCTCTGACTATTGATGAAACATAGCTATTGGTGATATGATATTTAAATATTATGAAAAATTCAACATTCTATTCGAACAGTAAAAATAAATTAATATCTTTTAGTTTCCAAATTCAATTTTTAATAAACAGAAAATAAATTGACAATAAAAAAAAGATGGATCAATAATAATATTATGAACATGTTTGTGATGAGTAATGCATAATTTGAAGGAAATGTGAATTTATCTTTCTATTTATAAACCGATCAATTAATCTATTTATTGTAATTGAAATGTGAATTTATTTTTTGGGTAATTAAAATATTATTCTTTTTTTAATATAATGTTATATAAATTTAAATAATGTTCAATTGAAGGGCAAATTGGTAATCTAACTTTAAACTAAGGGGATTTCAACTTTTAATATTATATATATATAATAAGCCACAATTATGATTGTAACTATCTTGTTAGCTTTCAACCAAAAGCTAACAAGATTTTTAGTTACATATTTATTATTTAGTTAAATAATAAATATGTCATTGTATGAGCTATTTATTACTCATTCTTTTTGAATTTGTTAATCTGATTTTGATCTGACACATAGTTTACGAAAGTAAATTAGATTTTGAGAAAAAAACATTAAGTGATACTTGAAGTTGTCCCGGATTTTCAAAAAGACACCTTAACTTTGTGTGCGTCCTATTACCCCACAAAACATTCAAAATCACAATAAATACACATTTTTTACACAATATTTCCATCTTAGACAAAAATATCCTTCGAATGTGCAATTTCTTAAAAACAAAAAGTCGGACCCATTATTGATGTATTGAAGGATGCTTTGGTAATTTCCTATGATGAATTCGTTTTGTTTGTTGTTTAATTTTTTTAAAATAATTGTATAAAATATTATAAATCACAATAATTATTTACTTAAATATTCAAAAGATATAAAAATATGTAAAAGATCTGATTAACTCTTCAAATTTTATCGGTGACACATAAATTGGACAAATGAAATAATATATATTATTTGAAAATTTCTTAGAAAGTACTATAAATTACAGTAATTAACAGCTAGAAATATTTCAAAGACA